CCTGCAATACTGCATTCTAACCACTGCACCATCACAGCTCTTTATAACAGCAACACTGTTATCTCCAGGGTGCCTCACCACATATAATACGATGGTTGTAGATCAAGTTGGAAAGGAAGTCAAGGATATTTAACAAGCCAAATTTCTGGAGAGCAGCAGAAAATACCAATGCAGAAGGAACAAAGCAAGACCCAGTGGGAATTGTATGGTCTTGGAAGATAAATGAACACACGCCTCTGAGTGATTAGCACCACCAAGCAACAGATACATTCTGCACATTATAAGATCAAATAATGCCGACTGTATAATAATGAATTTGACAGCAACAGAGGAAATGTATATGTAGGTGGGAAAATAATAAGGCAGGTGTGGTGATGATAGAAAATCTCAGACTGCACTCCAATGGGAAATCATCCCACTTTATGAAATCTTAGAAAATACTGTTTGAGCAGCTATCCTTCCAATGCCAGTGTCATTTTATAATCAGAACTACTCAAGGGGCAGTGTAATTAGGCCCTACGCTGTAGAATGGTAGATCAAAATTAAAAACATGTCCATTGAACATGTTTTGCCCCTAAAACCCAAAGGTTTCTGAATTGATGCTCCTTGCATTCTTAATCAAGTGCCTGAGTGTGTCTTTGTGTAGCAGATGTTGTAATTGATGTACATTCTGTATAAGCTTTGTGCTCCAATCTGGCATACATTTGTACATGTATAGAGATATTATTGCTTACATACTTCTCTTAGGCTCATCATAAGTAGAAAAAGATAAAATTATCCAGCAGAAGGAAAGCCGATTTTATTATTTGATGCAGGGATCCAAATTTTTTTAATCTTTTTATTGTTTTTACAGCAGTGAGTTAGAAGGGAGTTAGTTTTAAATTTAAAAAATTCCAAGTTTGTTTTCAATTAAATTACCTTCACCTGTTAACTATGGACTGGAAAGAGTATATAACCACGTCAAATGGTTTACAAACTCTGTGTCCAGCTCAGCCCAAAACAATGTGGAACAATTCAGCGGAGTTTAGTTCTTTATTTGCTTACGCACAACAACAGAATCTTGCCAGACTAAACTTTTACTGCTCCCTATAGCCCAGTGGTTCTCAATTATTTTCTGTCATGCCCCCCCTAGGAAGAAGAAAACATTTCGCGCCCCCCCGCGTGACTGTCTATCCAATCAGGTCCTTTGCGTGTGTCACGTGCGTCCAATATGACAGTATTTGCCGAGGTCAAACGAGCCCCCCTTTACGGAGCCTCGCGCCCCTCCTGGGGGGCCCGCCCCACTATTTGAGAACCACTGCTATAGCCTAACAGATATACCCAGGATGATTCTAAGGAGTGGCTATCATTACTTTCTTCCTCTGTTTCCTATCCAGCCCTGGAATGTGCCCTCTTGTCTTCCAAGATTTAAGTTTAGAGATTTAAAGTAGAAAAACAAAGTTCTCCATTACACAATTTGTTCTCAGATTGTTGCAGCACAGATCATGTCTCCCAAACATGGATAGTGCCCAGGTCATACCTTCTGGTTTCTGAAGGTTTTAGAGATATGGTGAGGCTTTGCCACTATTGTGCTGGCTGTCAGAAAGGGCATGAATATTTTGTTTTACAAAAATAGTGATGCTTGCCACAGATTATTTGATTGTATGCTGCAAGAACTACCGCAACAGAAATTGAACTCGATAAACAGTTGAGTAGGTGAAATATGCTATGTTGATAAGGCTAGAATGAATCAAAGTCATAATCCATGGCAAAAATGATGGATGGATGGAGGATGGTTGGTTGATTCTGAACCATTAATTCAGTGATGACTCTTAAAAATCACAAAGATGAAGGTTCACCAGGATGATGTAACCATTTCCCAACTTGGCTTTTCCAATCTTTCAACAGTGCATCCACCACTGATGTAATTAATCCCATCTAGTTTGCTGCTGATTGTTGTCTTCTTCCCTTTGTTTTCACCTTTCTTGTCATCATGGACATCTCAGATAATGTGACCAGAATTTGATAATTTGATTCATTTTGGTCTTAAAGTGACAACTTTGAATTGATTTGTTATATAGTCTGTTTGATTTATTTCTTGGCTATCCATGGCATTCTCAAGGGTTTTGGAGTTCTTGATGTTCTCTGTTCTTGGTTGTTTGCTTGCAGATGTTTCATTACCCAACATCATCAGTACAGGGGACAGTGGGGTTTGCTGCCTGTGTATATATAGTAGCTTTCCTTACCAGTTTTGGTGGGAGTGTGGTTTCCTCCTTGGCTACTTTTTGATTAGAGTATTGTTTTCTACCTGATTGTTTGTCTGGTGCTGATCCCTGCTTATCTGACTGCAGAAGGGGGGAGATGTTCTAATCTTTGTTTCCTTCCTAGGGCTTTTTATTGTCTTTTTTGAATGGTTGGTAAATGTGTTTATCTCTATGTCTCTGTTGATGGCTGATTTGTAGCTTCTGGGAATTGCCTACCATGTTTGGATTTGGCTTGATCTAAAATGTGAACAGTTTCCCAGTCGAAACTGTCACCGAGTCTGTCCATGTTTCACAAGATTAAGGAGTTCTCATCCTTTCTTCTGACTGTTCATTGGTGTTGGTGGACGTGCTTTGCTTGTCTTCCGCCTGTCTGTCCTACATTGTGGCTGTTACACTGTATGTTGTCGACGACTTCTATTTGTTCTTCTTTGGGTCCTTTGGTTTGTTGTAAGATCTTTTGGAGGATTTTAGATGGTTTTCTGTGCCACAAAGACGCCAAATGGTTGTACTCATCAGTTGGTTGTTTCCGAGATGTCTTTAATATAGGGGAAGGTTACACTGTTTGTGGACTGTAGCTGATGACTAGCACTGAGGATGTTACTGTACCTAGTTTGGGTAATGAAACATCTGCAAGAAAGCAAGAAAGCTCAGGGAACTCCAAGGACCCCTCATGTCAACCCCGAGCTACAAATATTTGCCTTTATGGGTAACATTTCTGATGGAAAGCAAAGGAAAGCAAGAATCCTGAGCAAAATGACAAAGACTGTGTATATTCCATCATTTCACTCCTCAGTGATCGTGCTGCTCAAAGCCATCTGTTGGAGATGCTTTAATTTCTGCATTGAGCAGGGGGTAGGGACTCAATTACTTAAATGTCTCCCCCCCATAGCTGTAGGATACTACTGAAGATCATTGGTTGGGTTTTGATGCAAGTAATAGCAGAAACCCAGAGATCTGAAACAGCCTAGCCCATTAGCAGCTGTTTGGCAGGCTGCTGATGGCTATGGGGAAGGAGGACTTCCTGGCAACTTGCTCCTAGCTGTTTGGTGGGCTGCCAGAAAGCGTGGGAGGAGAAGACATCAGTAGCTATCTGCATGAGGACCACTGGATGCCAGGGATCATCTGCCTCTGCTCTGCATCCCGTGAGCCAGTGGGAAGTTAGACTCTAAATCTGAGCTGAACTGGAATTTCTGAGAAGGTAATTTTTCTCTCTCTGTTTCCATGCGATTCTACTCCATTCACTCACACCCTTTAGTTCCCATTTCTTTTTTCCAAGGAACGCTGCTTTAAACACTTTCTTGTTTTTCTTCGTCAAAACTTCACAACCGGGGATTCCTTGCTGTGTTAGATTTAGGTTACCCATCTTAACGCTTTTGTGTACTTGCAACTTTGGAACTGCTATCCTCCTCGTTCATAGAGAAATAATGGCTTTGATTCCTATTTGCACAAATGAAATTTTTAAAAAATCCTACGTCAGAAAGAGGAGGAGGAGGAGGAGGAGGGGGGGGAGACCTTCCCATTCTAAGCTCTAAACTCTGAAGAACCCAGAAAGGAAGCTAACCTTGGAAACATGGCAGGAACTGAGAACTATATGAGCCGTGGTGGCACAGTGGTTAGAGTGCAGTACTGCAGGCTACTTCTGCTGACTGCCAGCTGCCAGCAGTTTGGCAGTTCGATTCTCACCTGCTCCAGGTTGACTCAGCCTTCCATCCTTCCGAGGTCGATAAAATGAGGACCCAGATTGTTGGGAGCAATAGGCTGACTCTGTAAACTGCCTAGAGAAGCTGTAAAACACTGTGAAGCAGTATATAAGTCTAAGTGCTATTGCTATATGATAACAAAGCAAGAAGAAGAGCATATCTCTTAACAGAATAGTAGAAATGCATAAGAATATTACATAGGATAATCTAGGGTTATATAAAGTGGGTTTTTCTATTGGGGAGGGGAGGAAATGACTGTAGGGCATGAATAGTTTCCTTAGCAAAACACCACAGAACACTTTTCCTTTCCAGACAAATAGTATTCATGAATGTCCAGCGGAAGGTGTGAGCAAGAGCCCCACTTGGAATTATTTACAAAGGCCGTTGTCCCTACAAGGTCCTTCTGTACTCAATGGCTCCCACTGTTTTGAACAGAAAATGGTTTCTACCCAACATCTTTCAAGCCACCACACAGGGGAGGCTTTGCAAACACGTGCTTTGACATTGGCAGGCCACTTCAGCAATCTCATACTATTTCGTCGTCATGGCAATAGTTTTGGTGGTAGGGAAATTTTTTGGCTTTTCGCAGCTCACATGCCAGGGAACACTTTCTTCTAGCTGTTCTTTTTAGCGAGGATCTTTGTTGAGATGCCAGACCCCGATTGGTTGGAAGCCACTTACCGAAAGAACAGGTGGGTTGGCTTCCATGAAAATAACTACTTGCTGGCCCCATTGAGAGTCAGACCTGGTGTGCAAGAGAACGGCAGTGTTGCCTAAATACAGATGCTTTCATTTACCCTAGGGCAGTGTTTCCCAAACTTGACAATTTTAAGGCATGAGGACTTCAACTCCCAGAATTCCACAGCCAGCAACGCTGGCTGTGGAATTCTGGGAGTTGAAGTCCACATGCCTTAAAATTGTCAAGTTTGGGAAACACTGCCCTAGGGTGCCAAGAAAGAGAGAAAGGGGGAAAACTTACAGCAAGCAGACAAGGAATAAATTATATTTTTGTTCATCTGAAAACGGCAGCCATCGTTATATGTTCTTCTCTTCACAGATAACTTGACCTTACAAGCACAACACGTGCAAGATTCCAAGATGGGGTTTGTGATTAATGCGATATACTCCATGGCCTATGGCCTCCACAACATGCAAATGGCACTGTGTCCAGGCTATGAGGGTCTTTGTGATGCCATGAAGCCGATTGATGGACGGAAACTCCTAGATTCGCTGATGAAGGCCAATTTCACCGGGGTTTCTGGAGATATGATCTCCTTTGATGAAAATGGAGACTCACCAGGACGGTATTGTATATATTTCACCATCTAGAAAACACAGAATGCCTTGGCTTGCTACTTACAGTTACTCCTCGACTTACAACCATTCATTTAGTGACCGTTCAAAGTTACAACGGCACTGAAAAAAGTGACTTATGACCATTTTTCACACTTACGACCATTGCGGCATCCCCAATGATCATGTGATCAAAATTCAGAGGCTTGGCAACTGACTCCTATTTATGACAGTTGCAGTATCCCTTGGGTCATGTGATCACCTTGTGTGACCTTCTGACAAGCCAACTCAATGGGGAAGCCAGATTCACTTAACAACCGTGTTACTAACTTAACAATGGCAGTTATTCACTTAACAGCTGTTACAAGAAAGGCCGTGAAATGGGGTGAAACTCATTTAACAAACAAACAAACTCTCACTTAGCAATAGAAATTTTGGGCTCAGTTGTGGTCGTACGTCGAGGACTACCTGTACTCAGTTTCTTTAATAAAATAAGATAGATAACCTTTATTGTCATTTTTTATGGTGAACACACTGGCACACATTAAAAATGAAATTCTATTGCCGCTCTCTCAAAAGAATATATATATATATATATGTATGTATGTATGTGTGTGTATATATATATATATATATATATATATATATATATATATATATATATATATATATATATATAATGTTTTCTGAGGTTTTCGCGGGTGTTTGTATGTAGGTCTTTGGTTGTTCGGGTTTTCTCCCGCGTAAAATTGGAAGTGTCTTGGCGACGTTTCGACGAAGTCCCATTCGTCATCTTCAGGCTGGTGTTTTCAGCTTCGTACTTTGAGCAGCAAATTTGCTGCTCAAAGCACGAAGCTGAAAGCACCAGCCTGAAGATGACGAATGGGACTTCGTCGAAACGTCGCCAAGACACTTCCAATTTTACGTGGGAGAAAACCCGAACAACCAAAGACCTACATATATATATATATATATATATATATATATATATATATATATATATATATATATACATACACAGTATATATATGTGTGTGTGTGTGTGTGTGTATGTACACACACACACACACACACACACATATGTTTTCTGAGGTTTTCGCGGGTGATTGTATGTAGGTCTTTGGTTATTCGGGTTTTCTCCCGTGTCAAATTGGAAGTGTCTTGGCGATGTTTCGACAAAGTCTCATTCGTCATCTTCAGGCTGGTGTTTTCAGCTTCGTGATTCTAGACTTCTAGGCCGAAAACACCAGCCTGAAGATGACGAATGAGACTTTGTCGAAACATCGCCAAGACACTTCCAATTTGACGCGGGAGAAAACCCGAATAACCAAAGACCTACATATATGTATCTATGTATGTATGTATGTATACCCATATACATACATACACACACATACTATATATATATATGCTATATACTTATATACACATACACATTTACATACGTACATACTTAATCAGTGGAATAGCTTGTCTTAAGAAATTGTGGGCAGTCCATCAGTAGAGGTTTTTAAGAAGAGATTGGATAGACACTTGTCTGAGATGGTATAGGTTCTCCTTCTTGAGCAGGTGGCTGGACTAGAAGACCTCCAAAGTCTCATCCGGCTTTATTCTATTCTATCCTATCCTATCCTATCCTATCCTATCCTATCCTATCCTATCCTATTCTATTGAAGAGAAGGAATAAGGGTGACATGATAGCAGAGTTCCAATAGCTCAGGGGTTGCCACAAAGAAGAGGGAGTCAAGCTATTTTCCAAAGCACCTGAAGGCAGACAAGAAGCAACAGGTGGAAACTAATCAAGGAGAGAAGCAACCTAGAACTAAGGAGAAACTTCCTGACAGTTAGAACAATTGATCAGTGGAACAACCTGCCTCCAAAAGCTGTGAATGCTCCAACAGTGGAAATTTTTAAGAAGAGACTGGACAGCCATTTGTCTGAAATGGCATAGGGTTTTCTGCCTGAGCAGGGGGTTGGACTAGATGACCTCCATCATCATCATCATCATCATTATTATTATTCATATACTAATCACTGTCCAGTTTGAATACATAGTGGAAAGAGGAAACTTGAAAGTTTGCAAGATTGATACTATATGGAACAAAGCTGTGACTGAATTTAGATGTTATTTGGAATATTTCAACACCCAATCTTATAAATACACTACTATATGTAACTTGTATTCACATTCTGGATTGAATTAAAATCAATAGAATGAACGTTAGATGTGACTTTTACAGTCACATCTAACCTTAATTTAACAGTCATATCTAACGTTAATCCTATTGATTTCAATTCAGTCCGAATTTAACAGCCCAGTGAAAAAAATGCTGTTGGTTAGCTGTGACCTTATTTTGTGCCTCTTTTCTCATGGAGACCCTCATGGATTTAAGTTCAATGGAGTGGTTTCTCTTTTTTTGTTGGAAAGGTATGAGATCATGAACTTTAAGAAAATGAGGAAGGATCAATACGATTACATCAACGTCGGAAGTTGGGACAACGGTGAGCTGAAGATGGCCGACGATGAAATTTGGGCAAAGAAAAGTTTAGTCATCAGATCTGTGTGCAGTGACCCTTGTGAAAAAGGAGAGATTAAGGTGAATCTATGTGGTTTGGAATTGCCAATCCAACCGATCCCAGTTGCCTGCAGAGCCTCCCACACATGCACACACGATTATTTTTATTTATTTTATTTCTTTATCAAAGTTTTCAAACTGCTCATCTGCCTCACAGAGAAACTCTGGGTGGTGTACAATAAAGTATTAAAAACATAAAACCCTATATAAAATTTTAAAAGAGGCAAGCAATGTTAAAAGTTAATTAGTTAATTAATTGGCCACCCACAGTAGCCCCATGGCACAATAGGTGGCAAATAAATTTTATTATTATTGTTATTATTATTATTGATCATCGCATAGTCAGCCAGATGTTCAGACTTGGTTTGGCATTTTTGTCTACCTATCAAGTCCTTACCAAGGATCATAGACAGATGTGGATGTTTGATGGTGTTACAGATATTGTCATAGGATGGAAGCTGTCCCCAGTAAAGCCGCCTTTTGCAATTGACTGATGGTGAATTTGTCAATGTCGATGGTGTTCCAGTGCTGCTCCAGTTGTTTTGGGATTGCACCCCAGGTCCTATTACTATTGGTACTAGCCTTGCTTGCCTTTGCCACAGTCGTTCTATTTCTATTTGTAGGTCTTTGTATTTTGTTATCTTCTCCAGTTCTTTCTCGTCTATTCTGCTGTCTCCAGGCACTGCCACGTCCACTATCCAGACTTTTTTGTCTTTCTTATCGACAATTGCTAAGTCCGAGGTGTTATGTAGCAGGTGCTTGTCTGTTTGAATTCTAAACTCCCAGAGCAACTTAACGTCTTCATTTTCAATGACTTTCTCTATTTTATGGTCCCACCAGTTGTTGTTGTTATTATTAAATAATGAAAGATGGGGGGGCTTTCTGGGTGCTAGCCAGCCCTGCAACTAGGTGCTCCTCTGTGCACCCCAAGTAAGGGCTGCAGAGCTATGTTATCACAGCTTTTCGGAAGGCCAGGAGAACAGGGGTCTGCCTCACACCTGGGGAGGGGGGGGAATGTTCCACAGGGCAGGGGCAACAGCAGAAAAGGGTCTCTTCCTGGAACACCCCCCCCCCATTAGAATTCTTTGACTGTTAGGTTCTGCAAAATATCTTCCTTCCCTGCCTGCCTCAGTGGAATGGGCTGATGTGATGAGGCGAAAACGGTTCCATAGGTAAACTGGCCCCATTCTATGTAAGCCTTTAAAGGTCATAAGCAACTCTTTGAATTGGATCTGGAAGCAACTTGACCACGGTTACTGGCAGATTCTGATTCAGAGACAGTGATGACAACATTAATTGTTTTCCAGGTTAAATTCACAACCTTTCAGACTTAGAGTCTTAGTCTTGTGACTAACCTATATATGGAAATGGTCTGGAATCATTGTATGTGAAGTCCTTGGTGTTCTGAGCTTGGTTGTCTTCCTGCAGATGTTTCATTACCAAACTAGCCAGTAGCCCTGATGATGTTACCTAGTTTGGTAATGAAACATCTGCAAAAAACAAAAAACACCCCCAACCAAGCTCAGAAAGCACCAAGAACTCCACAGTTCATCCCTGAACTATAAATATTCTCTTCCATCAGTATCATTGTATGTGTGTTGGGCAGCTCTGTAAATTTGTTTGATACGTAAATAACCCATAAATAAATAAATTAAATGGTAAATTTGAAATTCAGCAGAATGTCTCTTCTCTCTCCCAACCCCAAGGTAGGAACTGATCTGTAGATTTTAAATAACTATCATTGTAAATGACCGTGATGAGCAAAACATTCTGAATGAGTTGGGGTGCAAAACTCAGCATAACGTGGACCAAACTTGAAAACTCCTTTATAAAATGGGCAAGGATCTCTAAACCACTCACCCAAAAGGGATCGTGAACAACTTTGGTGCTTTTGGGAAAAATGGATGGGTGTCATAAAATAGCACAAAAGCAGAGTCATTTTTTAAAAAAAAGATAACAAACCGTAAACTTTAGAAAACATAAGGAATTTAAAAATAGGTTTGCTGTCTGTTCTTCTTAGGTTATCCGCAAGGGAGAAGTCAGCTGCTGCTGGACCTGCACGCCATGCAAAGAGAATGAGTTTGTCTTTGATGAATACACATGCAGGGCTTGTGAGCTGGGATCCTGGCCCAACCATGACCTCACGGGTAGGTGCAGAATAATAGAACATTGACTTACAAATAGGAATGGCAACAGAATGAAGATTTATACTGAAGCCGATGGAGTATCCTCCTCCTCCTCCCTCCCTCCCCTCACCCTATCAGCATATATAATTATATGAACCTTTTGCTTTGAGTTAGTTCTGTTGTGGAAAAACCACGATACTTACATCAGAAGACAAGACCACGAAGGGTTGGAGAAAACAGGCTTTATTTGTGCACAATGGTTCAGAGCATTAGCATGACAGATTCTGAACCCTGAGTTACTCCCAGGGTGTCATTTTTATACAGCTTACCGCCCACGCTTAACCTAATGGATGACTTCTTATCTACCTTTAACACACTAAAAGAGAGAAGTTCATATCTTGAGACCATACACATAGGAAAAAGGGAAGTGTATACAATGTGCAGAAAACCACACTCCCCTACACGTGTAATATGTTACACCATTTGTGACTTTCGGTTGGCACTTCTTGTAAAAATGTTTCTTCCTAGAATTGCACACAGGTCATCACACTCAGCCAGTTTATAGTATTAGTTAATGCTTTCAAAACATCACCTCTGTTAATTAAAATATAATTCAAAAGTACTTTATCATTTCTCTTAATGGCAATTTTTCATCTACCTCAGTTCCACCATCTTACAACTTTCTTGCTACCTTCAAAATACATTCATGGAAACTTTGGGATTCACTGGATCCCATTCGCTGGGTACTGTTGATAGCTGTGAATGGGTTTACATAATTCAGGTAAAAGATTCCCCTGTCCAGTGATGTCCAACTCTAGGGGACAGTTCTCAACTTAGTTTCTTAACCAAGAGAACCAGCATTGTCTGAAGACTCTTCCATGGTCATGTGGCCCTAACCCTCACTATACACCAAGGCACATGGAATGCTGTTACCTTCCCACCAAAGTAGTACCTATTTATCTACTTGCATTTTCGTGCTTTCAGACTGCTAGTTGGCAGGAGCTGAGGCAGGAACGGGGGCTTATCCCTTCAAGTACTTGGGTCTCGAACATCTGATCTTCTGTTTGACAAGCCCAGCATCTTAACCACTAGGCTACCACCTCCCCTTTTTAAGTCTAAAAAGAGACTGTTAGTAGTATACAAATATTAAGAGTTAATAATGCCAGTGCAGATACTTTGATTTCTACTGTGTCCCCAAGTCACACATTTTATTTATGTTTTTCTCCCATTCCCCTCTGTGTGACAACTGATGAGGAGAGAAGTAAAATGTCCAGCATCCTGTTTCTTTTGGTATCCCCTCTGTTTTTGCTCTGCTCTCTCTCTTTCAATCCAGAAGCAAACCTTTGAAAAATGAATGCCAGGTTTGGCTGCAGCTTTTGTCTTTCTTCTAAAGTGACCTGTCGGATTTTGTTGCAATCCACAGGGCTTTGCAATGTTTTTCTATTGCAGTAAAAACAGGCAAGAATCTGATGCCACCTGAAAATAAATTGATCCCAGTGCGAGCATTTGCTGGATCACAGGGACCCCGTGCACGACGCATAAAGATTGAATTGCTCTCCATCGGCTGTCGAGGCTTAGGCTGGCTTTTAAAGTCGCCATTCTAACAATCTAGAAGGCAATTGCTACTTTTGCAAACCTTCTTTGCAAGTTTTCAGTCTGGCTGGCAAATAGTTTAGGGGGGGAAAAAACTGCCTCCTGCCTTAAAGTCTTATCTCCCTCATCCCCAAGGCTCTGTTTCTCTCCTCTGAAGCAGTAATTGCATATCCCTTGGAAAAAAAACTGGGGGGGGAATCATCCCCAATTAGCAGCTGAATGGAAATTAAGACTCTTCCTCATTCAAAATGCCCTTCATGGTGGATCTTGCAAGGCTTACTCAGCTGTTCTTGAAATGCATCATATCTGAGATTGTTGAAGACCAGTCAGGTCTTCTTGTTTGACACAAGACAAAGCTGTCCTGGAAAATGGAGGGAGGTGCATTAAGCACAATATTACTCTGGGGCTCTTTGCTTCTCACCCAAGTTTCTAGAGGTAAAAGAGATGAGTAGAATGCTCAACCATGTCATCTTTTAGTGCAGTGTTTCTCAACCTTGACAATTTTAAGGCATGTGGACTTCAACTCCCAGGATTCCACAGCCAGCAATGCTGGCTGTGGAATTCTGGGAGTTGAAGTCCACATGCCTTAAAATTGTCAAGGTTGAGAAACGCTGTTTTAGTGGATCCTACTTCTTCAAACAGCAGCCAGGAGACCAGATTTGTAAATATTGACACTACATGCATAGAAAAGAGCCCCTGGTTTGTGTATCACCAATATGCTCACCTTGGTCATGTATGTTGATGGATTAAAGTCTTCATCCTGGTTCATCCAAGCCAGGGATAAATAAACAACATGGCGACTGCTTTGGGAAGAAGGTTGCAGTTTATTGAAGAGCCAGAAAGATGGTTCTTGCAGGAAAGACCAGAGAAAAAAGGGCTGAGCACATGGGTAGTAGGTTTTTATACCCTCTCTAGCCTTTTGTTTGGAATAGTTTCCTGTTCCTTTGAGGCTATTTCCTGTGTCACGTATTCTGACCTGAGTTTAGGTGTGCCTCTCTGGTATTCTTGATGGGGATGGGTTAGTCCTATTATCATATCCTGCTTCCCTGGTGCTGGGACTAATGACTCCTAAAGTTTGGGTGGGGTATGCAGATTTTAGGTGTCTTTGTCTTCTTGATCTCCTAGCTGGTGGTTTTCATCTGCATTTGTATAGAGCTGGCTCCTGCTTGGGACAGAGAGACTTGAGGGCAGGGTTGGTTTCTGCTTTTAAAAATCCTTTTGAGGAAATATATTTTTCTGCCCTTTTAATATTTCCTTCTCTGGGGAGCTGACTTCCCACAATGTGTTGTATAATTCTCTTTTAATTTCCCTTTTTCTGTTTATCTCCCTTTTCTTCCCTTTCCTTCCCCCCTTCTTCCCTATCTTCTATTTCTCTCTTCAGTTCTCTTCTCCTCTCCTCTTCTCTCCTCTTCCCTTCCTTTCCCTTCCCTTCCCTTCCTTTCTGTTTCTCCCCATCTCCTCTTCTCTCTCTCTTCCATGCTCTTCCCTGTAAATCATTTTTTTCCCTTATTTTTGGCAGCATGGAAATAATTAATTGAGATAAGAATCCAATTGGGACAGAAAACAGTTCAAAGGGCATTTGAATTCTTTAACCCAAGATTTTTGAGGGGTCACAATTTAGGTTTAATAGAAGTTCTGTGCTTGGGAAAATATTATAAGAATTGGATAGAGATGGAAAGATTCTTCTAGGAATGGGTTTGACAGTTTAAGCTCAGACGAATCTACGGTGGGAGAATTCCAGCCACAGGTGCAACCCATTACCATTGGTTTCCCTCCTTCCATATGTGTGTATTTGTGCATACGCAGTACATACATTTGTTCATTTGTTTGTTATTCATTCATTCATTCATTCATTCATTGGAACTGGTGCCTAGTTCATTTGTCTTGAAACATACAAGTAGATGCAATCTTTAAAAAAAAAAAGACATAACTTTTTTTGTAAGTTCTTTTCATCTTTTACAAAAACCCTGGCATACTTGTAGCTTTACCCCTCTTTGTGAATTAGAAGATTCATTTTTAAATTTTCCTGGGATATGAGATGAAATGATACCCCTTGATCACTCAGTCCAGAAAGCGATAAAGAAGAGATGAAGTCTTATGCCAGGGGTCTTCAAACCTGGCCCTTTTATGACTTGTGGACTTCAACTCCCAGAGGTCTTCAGCCAGTGTGCCTATCGGGAGGCATGTTGGCTGAGGAATTCTGGGAGTTGAAGTCCACAAGTCATAAAAAGGCCAAGTTCGAAGACCCCTGGCTTATGCAAACAGCCTGATGATGCTGTAAGCACTCTGAGCTTTTAAACATTAACCAGTACTGGAAAAGTTCCCTTTCTCATTTCATTTTTTTTTTTTAAATCCACATCTGCTCCCATTTGCTCTGGTAGATGTTCAGGTCTTTTTTTTTAATGTGAGTATAAATGCATATTTCATTCTTCCTATACAGCAGCTTTATTGTTCATCAACATTTGCTTTAAATCTTTCCTCCTACGGTTCTGAAGTATTTAAAAGAACATTATTTCAGTTAGATTAATGCTAAAAGTGAAAGCGAATTGCATTTAGAGGGAGTACACACCTGCCGGGAAGGCAGTGTTTGGGGTAGACTGATTCCCCCCCCCCCTTCTTTTAGTCTATTCCTCCTGACTGATTATTTTTTCCTGGCTTATTACTGTTTTTTAATTGTTCTCGGAGGAGGATAATAAGACCAACTCACAGTCTTTGTGATTAGTGCAGCAGGTAAAAGAAATTGTTAAATTCAGTAGCTTTGAAAAATACAAGAAGAGAGTCGATGTTATTAATTCCACCAGCCTTTGATCAACCTTCCCTCTGAGTAGGCATTTTTATTTCTTATTCATATCCTCTAGATATGTTGATTTTTGTGATGATAGAACAGAAAGGTACTGGATGAATGGATAATAGAGATAGCTAGGTAGCTAGCTAGGTAGCTAAACTAGGTAGCTAGCTAGGTAGCTAAACTATGTAGCTAGCTAGGTAACTATGTAGCTAGCTAGGTAGCTAAACTATGTAGCTAGCTAGGTAACTATGTAGCTAGCTAGCTAGCTAGCTAGCTAGCTAGCTAGATAGATAGATAGATAGATAGATAGATAGATAGATAGATAGATAGATAGATAGATAGATAGATAGATAGATAGATAGATAGATAGATAGATAGATAGGCAGGCAGGCAGATAGGTAGGCAGATAAATAGGCAGATAGGCAGATAGATGAGAGAGATGGAGGGAGGGAGGGAGAGAGATGAGAGAAAGAGAGATAAATCTAATTAATGACTCAGTTTACAGATCTAATATGTTATTATTACAACCATGAAGGAAATCTCTAACTGATTGAAAGGAGAGAAATAAGGATGCCACGCTGTTTTCTTGCAGACTTCTCGATCCAAACTAGGCAGCATCATCAGTGCTAGTTTCTAGCAC